TCGGTGAGGGTGGTGTATGGGGACAGAGAGACGTCGGTGAGGGTGGTGTATGGGGACAGAGGCTGATGGATGAGCTTGGCAGGAGGAGTCTCTGTGGACTATGATGTTTGCAGATGACACTGTGATCTGCAGTGAGAGGCTTGATGGGTGGAGGTGTGAGGGTGAGGGGGACAGGTGGACATATAGGGAGCAGAGGTAGTGGTCAACCCTTCACAGACAGGTAAAGAAGAGAGTGGAGGCAGGGTGGAGTAGGTGGAGACGAGTGTCAGGGGTGATTGTGACAGGAGAGCAGCAAGAGCAAAGGGGAAGTTTGACTGGATGGTAATGAGAGCTGCTGTGACGTATGACGTCAGTGACACTGGCGGTGTATACACAGGTGCAGCAGATGTGTTAGCAGCTGTAAAGACAGGTGTAGCAGCTGGTGCAGCAGGTGTAGCAGGTGTACTCTACCTGTGTTCCGTTAAAGACTCCAACCTGGACGAGGCGACCTGGTTTCTGCTGGTAGTTCAGGATGCTGTAGGTGGCGAAGCGCCGGTCGCCGTCGTCGTTAAACTCGATACGTCCTGTCAGGCCGTCGGGGTACTTTGATGACATCAGCACCCTGCGGAGCCAATCAGTGCACAGAAGAATCAGAGCTTCTTTATTTTCACGTTTGGTGGTGACATCATCGTGTTGATGCGTAAACAAATCAGGTATGTAAGCAGAGGTGGGTAGTAACGAGTTACATTTACTTGAGTAAGTTTTTGAAAAAAAGTACTTTTAAAGTACCTTTTTGCACGATACTTTTTACTTTTACTTGAGTACATTTATGAAGAAGAAACGGTACTTTTACTCTGCTACATTTGCAAAATTCGACTCGTTACTTTTTTAAAAATAATTAGTTTAACACAGCGGTCTCCAACCTTTTTTGCGCCACGGACCGGTTTATGCCCAACAATATTTTCATGGACCGGCCTTTAAGGTGTCGCGGATAAATACAACTAAATAAAACCAGTACTGGTACCGAAAAAAGAAAATTTATTCATAATGTTAGGTTTTGTATTGTTGATTGTCATTTATGCTTAGAAATATTTAACCATATATGCTTAGAGGTGTATAATCAATTGTGCAGTGATAGTCTGCAAACTTTGTGTGCATTAGAGAGCACTCTGGGAGCACGAGAGAGGTCGTACCTTGTCTTATTGTTTTATGGTAGGATTAACGTAGCTACGTCTGTTCTAGTCTAAGTGCTTTAAATGCTGGACTTCCTCACCGTGTTATCTAGGGTGAACCATCTAGGGCAGGGGTGGGCAAACTTTTTGATTCGTGGGCCACATTGAGTTCTAACATTTGACAAAGGGGCCGGAACAGGAGCAGATAGATGGCATGCTTTGAAAACATCACCTCATTGGGGGAAAAATACACATCTTGGGATATGGAGAAAACATGTGCTTTAATTTCCAATGAAAATGAAGAAAAGCATTACAATAAAATCTCTGACTTCGAAATGAGTCTTTAAACACTGAAAATCAAATAAATGAACATTTTATTTTAAAGCACTGAAAGTTCTGTTATCCTTCAGGATATCACATCACTCTCCTCCTGACTCTTTTTTTT